CACACGCTTGAACATTCCATTTGATTCCCTATAAATAGAGGGTCATCCCTCATTCATTTCCTTAAGCTTGAACAACCAAAATCACCCTGCCAAAATCATTCCATAACACACTTTTCTACAACTTCGAAATCAGTGTTCAAACCTTTTTCAATCCATTTTTCTATCAATTCACCTTCCTTGATCTTCCCTGAAGCTAACCATACAATTACTTTAAAGAATCGTGACCTATATTGATTCATAGAAGTCCAGTTTCAGAGCTCTGCAACTCAACCTCAATAGGTAGATTCCTTCATCAATTCTTCCAAACTTTGATATCATTGTGAAACTCTCATTGCCCTGGTTCTAGTCGCAACACTTGCTTTTATCTAGAAACACGTTTTGGCCATGAATTTTCAAATTCCCTTTCAAAACTTTCCTTCCAAATTGCTTGAGCTACAATTTATATAAATTTGTCGCGAAGGTGTGGTTGTCTTCGTCTTGAAGAGATGAAGCGAATGGCATAGGTCCGAGCTTCTGATTTTACAGTTTGAGAGACCTGCAATTCACATTGGCTGGAGGTTGAAGATGACCAACGTGTCATCTTCCAACCAATGATGGCGTGCCATTTGTTCTTTTTGAATTTCTGATTTAATTAATGATCAAGTGTTTTATTCACTAAAGTCCATAACATGCACAGTGCGCCAGATCCACTTGATCTGTTTACTAACGCATTTTAACAATGATCAGATGACCCATATTTTTTTGGTTTGATATTTTATTTTCGGATTTTTATTTTAATTGATTTAAATTTCAAAAAATTCATAGAAAATTCATTTTAAGTCCAAAAAATCTGAAAAAATTGTGAAAAATATTTTTGATTTTTCTCTTTCTAATTTTTATTTTTTTACAATTTTATTTTGTGTTTTGATATTTTTTTTATAAATTTTTATTTGAATTGTTTTAAATGTTTTAAATGTTTAAAAATACTTTTATACTTTTTTAAATTCTAAAAAAAATATGGAATGATCCAATGATATTGTGACAAATATTGGTGATCTCATTTATTTTTTATTTCTGACTTTGTTATTTTTTTCATCATTTTTGATTTATTTTACTCATTTCTTTTAATTTTAAAAATAGTTTATGACTTTAAAAAATTATCAAAAATTTTATAAAAATATTTGAGTTCATTTCTGATTTTTCTATGGTCTTACTTAATATTTATTAATTAATTTGAACATAGTTGATATTTTTCTATTTTATTTCTATTTTAAAACATTTTAAAACCCATTTTAATATATATATATATATATATATATATATATATATATATATATATATATATATATATATATATATATATATATATATATATATATATATATATATATATATATATATATTAAATGCAATATTATTTTGTGATTATTTTCTGGCTGATCTTGGATTGAATTTTTGATCATGAACTTTGTTAACATCATTGGATCCATGGTGTTGAGTCTAACTCCATAAAAATGAATGAATGATTTTAATAATAGTTTGATTAAAATTTAATTCAAATGTGATTTTTATATTCTTTCTCACCCATCTTTATCTCATCCCTTTCTTATTGCACTAAGCGTTATTGGAGCATGATCTCTATATCATGTCTCAAAACAAATGGTGCATAGATTGCTATTGACCGACCTCAAAATAGGTGCGACTTCTATATAAGTCCACTTACGATTGCTTAACATAGCGCTAAATTTTGTCCCGATTGGAATACGTGATCATTCGTGGCCCAAACCTATGTTTGCAAGCTCAAGTATGTTAATTTTATCTCTTTGATCCAATAACCTTGAGATTCACTGTGTGGAGGCTTTGGTTCTACCAATCCTCTAATGGATCTACATCACTTTTGGTCAACGCAGATCACTTAAACATCGTTGATCATTAAATGATACTTTTGAGGATTCCAATGGATGATATACTTGAAAAAAAAGCAAATGCAACTTGTTGTGTGAAGGCTTTGGTTCTACCAATCCTCTAATGAGTTCCAAATGCAAGTTTCAAGATGGTCATCCAACTAATAACTAATTATTAACAATTGACTTTACTTTATGCTTTTATTTTTATGCTTTATGCACCCTTTACTCTAGCATTTACATTTCATGCTATTTTCATCTTTACTCACTTGAGCATTTACTTTCTTGTCATTTTTATTTTACTTACTTGAGCTTTTCTTTTTTTTTGAAGATACCTAATAATCAACATGAACCATAAAAAACTTTAATGATACTTGGACTATTTGGTTACTACCCTTGGCATTATGGAGTATTGGACTTCTTGGACTTAGGATTAGAAACCTTGGCCTATGTTGGAGACCTTGTGCCCTTAATTGATATTTTGTCTGGAGTTCTTGAGGTTTACCTCAAGACATTGAGTTGTTTGTTTGTTTTGTGTGCAGGTTATTCTGATTACATTCTTTGTTTGTAATATGGAATTCACCCGTATACAGCCATTACTCTGTCCAATTTTTGTGAAGACTTAATATACTTGAAGTTTAGTTCTCTCAAGAGGTCTAGTATCTTTGCTTGCTTGGTTTTAATCCAAAGAATGAGAATTCTATCTTGACTCATAATGTTAAGATTTGGCTTCTTGTTAGTTAGATGGTTCTTATCTCTAGCTTTTACCTTATGCTTTAGGATAGTCTCTTCTTCTCCTCCCATCTTCTTTAATTTCAAAAATATTCTTCCTCCTTTTGAAAACTCTTCTTGTTTTGAAACTTGAACAATTTTCATAATAAACTTGGATCTAGGTCCATGCATTTTCAAAACCTTTTCATAAATAAACTTCAAACAACTTAATAATACTTTGATATTTTTTGTGAGAAGACTAAAAGTAAATCAATCTCATTTCAAACCATTTTTCCACTTTGGCTTTTTATTTTAAAACTTTTCTCAAAAAGATTGGACTCTTGTCAATCCTTGTAGTGATGCAAACAACTATACTTCTATAATATATAGTGAAGAAAGATATTTTCCACTTGGGTGTTGAGTGAGACATTGTTGATTTTAAAATCCAAGCCATATCCTCCACTTTGAGATGATGCAAATTGTCCTTTCTCATGATTGTGGGTAGTAAGTATTTTTCTACACGGACAATGACGATGATGTCTTATCTCATAAAATTAACCAACACACTTGTGTTTTAAAAACTTTTAAAAGATGAACTACGTGTACCCTGATCCCCTATTGCATGAGAGGTGGTACGTAGGCACTAAAGGTTCGCAACCGCGGCGGGTGCAAAAATCATAAAAAATATATTTCTTTTCTCAACTCCACCATCTATTTTACATATAACATTTTATAGCCAAAATATACAGATTTTACAAAGAGGTTCCTGCGGAGTACCGTAGATGTTTAGGATGCTAATACCTTCCCTTTGCATAATCAACCCCCTTACCTTGAATCTTCCCCCCTCTTTTTAGGTTACTCGCTCTTTTCCCATTCCTTTTGAAATAATAAAGCGCGATAGCGATTTTTATTTTTTTATATGTATAAGTCTAGTCAATCCAATGGCTTAGTCTTAAACATTTCTACCGCTACAGAGACGTAACATGGTATTGGTCGAAAATCCTGAAGCCACCTTGGATTTAGGTGCTAACACCATTGTGGTCGACACAACCCTGGTTACTCCGACTCGTGCTTCTAGGGTTGATGAAGTTCAAAACCCAATGAGAGACACTACTGATGTTTCAGCTAAGGATGAGTCTGTCGATCTTAATTTGTCGATACAAGTACTAGCTGGTTGTTTTCTAGTTTCTTTCATTTTTTGTTTGTTGAATTTTTTTTGGCTAATACCTTTTCTTGCTTTCTTTAGGTTAATATCTCCGATCAACAACAACGTGTACCTGACTATACCCCTTTGTCAGAAGCTTCTTCCCTTCACCATCATGAGAAACTTGACATTGTTGATGGTGAGTTTATCGACCTTACTATTTCGGCTACTCTTAGTGACTCTGACTCAGTCACTAGTCCTACCAAAGATAAGGGTTATAGTTTGACTAGTTCTGATTCTAGCCTTTCAGATTCCCTGCAGGGTTTAGAAGCAAATAAAAATGTCACCACCTCCCAAATTCTTCCCCTCCTGAAAGCACGCAAGGCGCACCTCTCGTTTCTCCTGGGAGAGCAAAGGTTGACTCACCCACTAAACTAAAACACACAGGAGTCAGTCCTTCAGCTCTAGAAGCAATTGCTAGGTTGCGTCGCTTTGTGAGTTCTCGAACTCTTTCTTCTGACTCCAGCCCACCTCAAGCACATAATGACAAGATGAGTCCTGAAGCAGTTAAAGCCAAAAATCCGATAACTAAAATTTAGACTCATGCTTTGAATCCTGATCTGCCTCATCTGCTCCATTTTGATCCAACTCTTGGCCCAGAACTCTCAGACGCTCTTACTCAAATGAAAGAGCTCAATATGTCTAAATCAGCCAAGTTGATGATAACGGTATTTGAGAAAAAATTTCATTCCTCTACACCAAAATTTTCAAAAAAAATTACTTAAATAATTAACATTTCAAATAAAATACTAAACTAATCATGTGTCAAACAAAAAAATTCAGATTAAAGAGAAGGCGTCAATGCTATTGACCAGGATCGGTGAAAAGGTTGTGCAAACTCTGCTATTGCACAGAGCCTCTCAATTAACGGGGCCTATATTTTTATGTTATCTATTACTTTCAAAAAAGAGAACTAGGGAATAAAGTAATAAATATTATAAATCTATAATATAAGAATACTCATTCTACCCAAAAACCCTATTTTGTCCTTTTGTTCCAAAATTGCGACACCTAGCTTCATGAGAGTTAAGTAAAATTTTGTTTTCTCAGATTCTTCATTTTTCCAAATCTTTGATCCACTTCCAATACCTTTCCCATTACTTTAATTTAACCTGCACGGTTGCAATATGCAGTTACCACCTCTCTCACTGCTCCACAAAGACTTTATTCATTACCCGTTCATAACTGCAGAAGTGAAAACCATGACAGTTTCCTTATCTTCTCTCACATCTTCCCTCTATTCACTTTCCTTTTCTTCCAATGTCTTTCGCAAACCAACCATTCTTTCTCTCCCCAGAACCTTCTCCCTCTATCACTCTTCTAAACTCCCCTCCCTAACCGTATCCACAACATCACTCGCTCCTCCCGTCGAATCAGAAACTGCTGACCTTAAGACGTACGTTAAATCAATACTTTCTGGTGGATTCGCCGCTTAAACTATCTTCGGCACCGATCGCCAAAAAAATGTCATCGCTCGTGTTTTTCTCCAGGAAGGAACCGAAAAATTCGTCATTAATTATTGTGACTTTAAGGTCTCTTCCCTCCATCTCTTCTTTGTTCACATTATTCTTTTGTAGATTTTATTGTGAAGTTGATTATTTTTTCGAAATCAATTGAATTTGGACCAAAACATGAGATGGAGTTTTGGTAAAAATTGATTTATTTCGACCGACATTATTGGGACTTTATTGCTCTGGTGTATGAATCCAACAAAAAAATATGAACCTCTTATCATGTCAACCAGAGGCCTAGAGCATTAATTCCCAAAACATATCATGACATTATATCTTTTTGTGATATTTCCAATAATTTAAAACCAAAACTTTTTTATTTGACTGCTTGCCAATATTTCGAGCTTTCTCATCTAGGCTTTGTCACATTGCCTAAGTTGCGAATAATGCAGAGAGATGATGCAGATTACATGTTATGAGAAGAACAATAACAGGTATGTGATGGCATCAACAAAATAACATTGTTTTCGTATAAGTTATTATATCGTTTTCATAAACTAATATGGAGAGCTTATGAATAAGTTGATAATTCATAATTTCAGGTATCATAGTTATTTGAGACTGAGGGTACGAAATGATTCTTGGATTGGTAAGAATTTATTCTGAGATGTGAAAATTTTGTTCTCAATTACAATAGTTCCTTAGATTCTCAATTATAACAGTTCTTTGGATTTGTAACAATTGATTCTAAGATTTATTCATTGCACAGCTTCGGTTCAATTAGTAAGCATCGATGACCACATGTATCCAAATTTTATTGATGTGATGCAATGGTTGGCCGAGAGCAACCTGCTTGAAATGATTGTTGATAAATTAAGCCCATTTGTAAGTGAAGCATATATCTAGGTTTATGTTTTCTGATCCAACTTTTATATATTATCTTTATAATAATAATGCATTTACACTTAGCTAGATGTCATACGAACATATTTTAAGACTATTAAATTGGATTTAAAATATAACTTGAAGTCCGAGTTTCCCGATTTTTATCCTACAGTTACAAATTCTGCTGCTGCAAATCCTGACAGCAGGGAATTCATTCCTATATGTAATTCCTCTTGTCATTATTACATCTTTCCAATCTTCCAGGCCGTGCGCAAATTGGTGTAGAAGCTGCTAGATTTGGCCTTGACGGCGGCGAGCATGCTGCTACATTAACAAAAAGAGAAATTGAGGAGGAATTCAATACAAGAAATGAATTTAATGCAAGGTATAAGAACTAAACTTTGGATCAATTGTCGACACTTAAGTAAACTTGTGATTAGATTTTTTTTCTTATGAATTACATTAGATGTTGATGATAGGTGATTTCTAGCGTGAATTGTGGCATATTCCATTTCTTTCGAACAACTGTCTGACATGTTAGATCAATTTGTTAGGAACCAAGGAAAGGGAAATGAAGAATTGATAGAAATAATCAGACAAGATGAACTATTTTATTAATTACGTAGAATAGTGCATGATAAATACTTCTCAATGAATTTCTATTTTATGACCTGACCACTTTTTATGATGTAACAAATCTCAACAAAGCAGATTGATAACTCTAGACTATGATTGAACATTGTACTTATCTCATGACAATGCTCTAAAAAATAATTTAAACATAGTAATGTTGTGTAATTGCTGGTGCATGATAAGAGACTTGTCTTTAAAGGAGTGTACTGCACAGACAATTGATTGCCCATTGTATATTTGGATGTGTTGCTTATTCATTTAGAAGTAGTCTCCTCTATTTTTCTTGGTTTAAGTAACACTTTCTTGTGTTACAGATATCATTATAACATAGAGGACAATAGGCTCGGGCAGCATGTAGACAAGGGTATTGAGGTTGGGTTGTATATAAGCTATGTGGCCTCTTCAGCAAATTTGTGGGCTATAATCATGGACGCAGGACTCTAGAACTCTTAAAAACCGATACTCTTTGGGCATCAGTGAGGATCAACTGGTAAGTCTAAAATACATCGTAGAAAGATCTACTTCGAAGGAGACTAAAGAAGTCGTCTATACAACAATAGTGAAAATTTTATTTTACTTTGACAGGTATGGAATTTTTGGGAAGAAATTCAAAGATTTATTCAGAAATATTTTCGAACCTGAACTTAGTGGATTAGTCTATCTTAAGGAGCCACGAGATCATGGATTTCCTTATTCACTTAATGAAGAATTCACGAGTGTATACAGAATGCACGCGCTCCTACCTGAGGAGATTGTTCTTTGAAAACTCAAGCCTGCAACAGGAAAGAACAAATCTCTTCCAATACAGGAAAAGTAAACTTTTATGTTTCTTATGAGATTGAGTTACTTACTTTTTCATACATTTTCCCTTGAAAGTTTCTTGTATTGGGCGTAAACCAAAAACATGAAAACATTAAGCACGATTACATATATGTCTTTTAGGGTGCCAATGGAAGAATTGATAGGAAAACAAAGGGAGAAAATGCTTTCAAAAATAGGAATGGAGAAAATGTTAGGGTGCCTGCGTTGATGTTTAGGCATGTTTAAGTGGATTTCTTTTCCTACTGCAGTTATGAATTAAACGTTCTTCATATTCTGATCGATAATAATTTTGTTTGATAATGCACCATAAATTAGATTCGTATGTCGAGATCGGTAATAATTGTGTTTAATACTGTTTTGGTGATAGAGTTGAAGATGCCATTCAAATATTGTAATACGTTATAAAAATAATGTTCATATTTTGATAAATGAATGAGTTGAATTTGTGTTAATGTTGCAGGTTTATTATGACATGGTTTGACATAGTTATAAAACTTGGTTGATTTGGACCAATTTGTTAGTTAGTGATGTGTTGAACATGCAATAACTGGAAATGCACAAGAACTAAACATGTCTTTGTCATCTAATGCTAATGGTCCATTTGAGCATACTAACTGGCATGATACTGAAGTATGTTTACATAGAAACCGTGAATTAGATGCAGCCCAAGTTTCACGGTAGGAGATAGCCTGTGATAATGCTATTTCTGAAAATACAGAATCTGCTTCTATATCTAACAACACTGGACTAGGACTTCATTCCAACACTAATCTAAAGAATGGTTGCAATATGGCATTACATCTTCTTTCCACTGCATCAATATGGAAGTGAGATTTAGAAAACCAACATATGTATGGTGTTGGTGATTGTAAACCATTGTTATAATGCAACATTTCATGAGTTTTACTTAATAGCAAATGATTATTTGATTTGTACTAAGTATACATGACTACTGCATTATATGAAGCCATGCCTCGCATGTTGGTTTAGAGTTTAGGCGTCATGTGAGCTTTTAAGGTAGATACATGCCTCGCATGTCGGTAAGTACACTATTAAACTTTCTAACAATTCCTTAAGGACTTTTTGTTTTGGACCAAATTAGTTAGTCTTTACTTTGAACTAAAGTAATTTACAGCTGGCTAAAGGTAAAATATCATTTTGATATTGATATACATTACCAATTTGTATTGAGAGAAAGTAAGCTCATTTTCTCTTTTGGTTACTGATTTTGATTTTGAGTCTCTTTTTAACCTGACACTTTAAGCACAATGTCTCGCTGCTTGGTTTTTACTTGATAGGATTATCCATGAGCAAATTATCTATTTTTCACTTTTATTTTTCATTTTATTTTCACTTGGGATGAGACCTGGACTTTTGTTCTCAAATACTGGTATGTGCATATTTTAACTTTATCCTTGATTTTTACTAATGAAATTTACACAGTAAACTATGGTGATAGGAGTTCTTTGTAAATCTTGTGTTAAAGAAGTTATGGCTTATTTTCTAATCAACACGAAGAATTTCAAACTTTCCATAAAACATTGCATATAAATTGTCCTTGAATACTCTTTCCACGACCTTCCAAGAGACATTTTCACCGTAGTAATATTCGGAGATAAATCATCAGAAACCTTTATAGTTGATTATGTATAGAAGTTATTGTGTTTTGATTTGGATGGGTTCGGCCTTGAGTGGTTATAGCATTGAACTATCCCATGTTGGGAAAACGGGGATAGAGATTACAGTTTTGGAAAACAACAGTTGCGTTTCCGAATATGAAGTCGACGGTCCCATAAATGTCGAATTCATGATAGAATTGTCTCATGGAATGTGTGTATAATGTGTCTTGATATCCTTCGAAGCTGCAGTTGTAGAAGGTGGATAGATCTGCTCTGTTACGAACTGCTACTGTTTGGTGTTTGATTGGTCCGACTGTGTTTCAGAATGTCATGTTCACGACTAAGAATCCTTGACACCACAGCTGCATGTTCATGCATGTAAAATCAACACAAACATGATTAATAATAATATTATTTTTTATTAACCAAATTAAACATGATTAAGAATTGGTTCAGATGTGAACACTGTCACATCAAACACACGTGATTAATTAATTTTCATGTATACTATATAACAAGTAAAGATTATTAATTCATGTGTAAGTAAAGTGCTTATTAGTAATTAAATACTGAAAATATAATTATAAAAAAGAAAATCAACTTGAATTTTAATTGATTCTACTATAAGAATTGATCACACAGATGTGTTGCTTGTAATTAAGGACATGAATCACTAATGCATGATATATTGAAAATAACTTTTTTAGCATAAATAAGATATCTTTTGCACGCAATTGCAGAGACTAATCTCTTGAGTCAAATACTATAATAGACAACAAAACTTTTTTTAAGAGATTTAACACTATTGAGTGCGTGCTCAAAGTGTAACTTTGCTTACCGAGTGTAGCTGAGTTAAAACGTGGTAAAATTATCAACAACATCGTGAACATTGTGATCACCGGTGATAACCGTTCGATTAATTCCGTCTCCAACCATCATCAAGTACTTCTTTTTGCTACATATAGAAACATATTCTTGATAAACACCCTTAGCAACATAAATTAAAAAGTGACCACTACTAGCAACACTGTTATTTGGTGTTACATTTATAACATCACTAATAGTTGTAAAATATCCACTTCCATTTTGATCAACAATCACAATGTTACTCAGTGCTACACTTTCATCAATCGTTTATAGTAGCTTTCTCCCATGTCTTCTAGCCGAATCATAACGTGCATGTACTTTATCCGACATGTTTAACAGGTAAACGGCCATTATGAAAACCTAGGTTTCTTTCATTGTGTGACGATGGTGTTTGTTTTTTAGTATCACCAACCCAATCCTTTAAAATGTGCAAGTGACACACTATGAATCTTTGCATCGTTGGAGATTGTTGATGATATATCATTAACTAGTGTTTGATCTGAAGAAGTTGTGTTCAAACCTTCTAAACATGTTTGTTGGTTTGTTAAAACAACACTAAGCAAGGTTTGAATATTAACGGGAACACAAAGTTATTGATCAAAATTTTTAATATTAAAGAAAACACGAAGTTACAGATCAAAATATTGAATATTAACGAGAACATGAAGTTAATGATCAAATTATTGAATATTAACAGGAACATGAAGTTACAGATCAAAATATTGAATATTAACGGGAACACGAGGTTACTGATCAAAATATTGAATATTAACATGAACACGAAGTTACTGATCAAAATTTTGAATAAATGGAAACACGAAGTTACAGATAAAATTTTTGAATATTAACAGGAACATTAAGTTACTGATCAAAATATTGAATATTAACGAAAATATTAAGTTATTGATCAAAATATTAAATATTAACAGAAACATTTAGTTACTGATCAAACTATTGAATATTAACGGGAACACAAAGTTATTGATCAAAATATTGAATATTAACGGGATCATGAAATTACTGATCAAAATATTAAATATTAACGGGAACATGAAGTTACTGATCAAAATATTAAATATTAACAGAACACTAAGTTACTAATAAAAGAAATTTCCATTAATTATACATTCAATTAATTTTTTTTCAAGTTTTATAAGCAAAGACCATATTTATACTTCATTTTACCATAAAAATAGTATAACGAATACCATCAAACTTGAATCCATATAGAGACCATAATTATCATAAAATTTGGAACACTTCTATGTGGGTTTTTACGAATAATAAATTATTATTCTAAAATTATTTTTATTTCTTTTTAATTTCTAATTTTTACTCAATATTAATTCTTTAATTTTTTAATTATTACATTTTAACTTTATTTATACTTTTATATAATATACTAACTATTATTAAACATTTTGTTTTGGTTTAAATATATATTTGAGTTCAAATGCGCGTACCATACCGGTACCCGTGTGAATGCACGTTTATTCCATTAGTTATATTGTATATGCTTAATATAGCATGTCATCTAAAGTATTTTACCCAATTCTCGTTATGACAACTCTCTAAAGGATACTAAATTGTATATGTTTAAATAACATTCTTTGACAATAAGAGATAATAATAAGTACGGTAAATTCTTATCTCACTCTTATACATTCTTTCAGGCCCTTGACAAAATTCCTAAAATGCCTCCTGTTTTCATAAATGCATCTCTGGATGCATCAAATTCCATTTTTTTGAAAATAAAATTCGGAGATGCACAACCAAATTCAATTAAAGGGTGTGTTCGGAGATGCATCTCCGAACACACTTTTTTTTTTTAATTTAAAAACTAGTTCGAAGATGCATCTCCTAACAGGATGAACATATTTAAAGGTCGTGCTAGACCTTCCTCTTCTCATTCTTCATTTTTCAGGATGAACATATCTGAACTGTTCTGTTCTAGCTTTTCGGATATGCACATCCAAACTCGTTCTTTCCTCTTATTTTTATTATGTTTTTTCCATGACTATGGCTGAAAACCAAGAAAGTTTGAGACTCGGGTGACCCACCCTAACTGCCTCAGCTCTTCGCGAGAGGGCTCGTCAGCACGAGCGGACTAGATCCCCCAACCTCACGATATAGAGGCGTCAGGCTCTAGAAAGAGTTGACTATCACGGGGATCGAGATCCTAGAGTGCCGTGCACTATGATGAGGATGCTCTAGTTGCATCCCAGGTCCCAATTGTTGAGGATGCCCCCTTTGCAGATCTATTTCCAGGAGGGCCCATAAACACGTCTTTACTCATATACTTTAGAAAGCATGTGGCCCAGTATATTTGAGAAGGAGAGGTATATTTCTAAACTTCCTCTATTTTTATTTTGTATCCAAATTAAACTCAACTGGTCATGTTATATTTTACTTTCAACAAGAGCACGATTGTCTAAAATGTGTGAATCAGGCAAGAAAGATTCAGGGTATTTACAATCCCAAGGAAGCCTGGTTCCAAAATGTATTATAGAACTCAGGGCTTATCGATCTTTGTGCTAGAGAGTACACCAACGTCATCCATGGCATGCATGCTGCATTTGCTGAGAGGTGGCACGGTGAGACCTAATCTTTCCACCTCCCATTGGTGACATGACTATTACACTAGATGATGTAGCATGCCTCATACACCTTCCCATCAGAGGAAGGTTACTTAATTACTCTAAGATCAAGGAAAAGTAGATGATGAAGGTTTAT